CTAGTGCCTATTTATTGCAAACGTAATAACTCGATGAATGAACATTTTTCTACTCTTAGCAAATTATTGTTGTTGACCTAATAAGAGTTCAAATGATTGAGATTAGTGCATGGAGTTCCCTCGTAGGATAAAAAAGAATCTTCGAAATATATATTTTTCTTGTATATTTAGCTGTGGCGGAACAGTTTGAAATTTCAAAAGGTACGTTAATTTTTTCTCTAACTTCATAAAGGAACACAAGTATAATTGGTTTAAGATGATAAACATTTAACATATATTAATCATGATTTTATCGATATTATTTCATCTGAGTAAGTTTCTCTTTAAGTAGCAAAGATTCGAAACTGATTACATACTTTCCTTTCTTTTAGTGAAACAACGAAATCTATTAAGGTAAAAATTATCATATCACTATGTAAATACGAAATCAAATGGTGAAAAGATTGGAGTCAATCGAAAGAATTTGGTTACGACTTGTCTCCAACGATGAATCGAAGTGCTAAGAGTTTTTAACATTTGAAGAGATTTGATTCAAAAGCTTTCTGTTCATATTAGGCATCATTTAATTGATGTTTCTCGGCAAAATTTTCTTCCGAACCCACTGACAGGAAATGGTCAAATTAGAATGTGTAGAAGAGCGAGCTTCAGAATCAATGAACTTCTAAAAAGAACCGGTCTTTGTTCTTTATTCATTCTTTATTGAATGCGTGAAACATTCGTATCTCACAGATTTATTCTTCAAAGTAATGAACAAGAATGCGAATTTTCCATATTGAAATTAGTTTGGTGTAAATAAATTAGAAAGTAATTTCTGAATTTAAATATTTTCGTCTCGTATAAAAGTTCTATTTTCAATACAACATCACTTCAGTTTCAGTTAAGTACTCTATGAATTCAATTTCCATGAGTATTATCTTTTATCTTTCGTGATATTCTTATGCTTTTCTATATTAAAGTCGACATTATAAGATATTGATTATCAATTCGGTTCGTTGTCTTTTATATACGTCTAAATTAATTTAATTTTCTATGAAATAAATCTTGCATACTAATAAAACATTATTTTTGTTTCAGGATCATCATGTGAATGAAGAACAAAAGAAACTTGAACGAAAATCATGCAGAAAGATTTCTGATGAATGTCCATTAACATTTGATGGAGCATATGGTCTTACTCAAGCAACTCATTCTATTGAATTTTGTGAGCATGACAAAACTTGTCAAATTGGTTTATATCAACATTTCATCAAAAAACATAAATTAAAAGAAGTTTATGCTCAACGTTTGATGCGAGCTGTTGCCGATAATAAAGATCCTAAGACAACAAAATTATTTGATGGAATTGAAAATGTAATCGATCATTTTTATAAAGTGCCAGATCCTTTTACTAACGTACTAGTGAACTGATTCAACAGAATACAATCGATAAAATGTAGCAAATGTGTATCATGTCAACGTCATGTAGTTTCACTTTATCCATTGAAAAATAATTTACGAAGTTATCGTCATAGTCCAACACATTACCATAAAAATTAGTTTGATAATTTCAAAGAAATTCGAACAAAAAATGATATTACTTTGGCTTCACTGATTTCGTTAACATGATAAGAAGGACAAAAAGTCTTTGAATTGTTTTCATTCATGTTTGTTTCGTTTTTTTTCTATTTGTGAAAATAAAGAATTCAATATTTTAAAATGGATATTTAAGTTATACTTTGCTAGGATTCTTTGATTATGTTTTTTCGTGTTCGAGCTAATAAGTCGCCAAGAAAAAACTAACAAGAAAACATACGCAATGAGTGGAGATCTCTCATTTTCAGTAAAACTACGTTAAACTTTAAAGCTTTAGACACCATAATTTATGAGAATGAGTAACGATAAAATTTGTGAACAGATTAGGAACGGACATGAATATTTTATAGCAAGATTTGTCAAATAGAAATAGATACACCTCACTTAACTATTCTGTCCATTATGTATTCTTGAAATGCTGTTTCTGGATGTGTCGATATCATAAGAGAGTCTACTCAGTTTTTAATCGCTAATATATCAATCTGTAACCACAATAACGAGAAACAAAGTATATAAACTATTGGACTAGGAAATGAAAAATTGACAAACTGGTGGCTTCTGGCAATATCTTAATGAGGTTGAAGTATAGCTTAGCCGATGGCAGTCCCTAGTAATAGAAATATGAGTCAAACAGAAATAATTAATAATAGATTCCAATTCGTCAGCGATTATCAGAAAATCTGAAATAGAAGAAATATATCGATAATTCATTGATCATACGTAGACTCGATGATCTCTTGAAACGATTAATGATCATCAACGTGCTGCAACTGTGAAGCAATAAATGACCTATGATAGGAATGGTGTGATTTTTATATCGCGTGCATGTAATCTGATTTATAATTAGGGTGTGGGTGTGTGGTGTGACTGTGAATGTGTATGGATGGAAATGAATCACACCCACCCACGGGGTCTTCTAGTAGGATTTCGTGATAATTCTTTCTTTCCAAAAACTATTAGTTGAATTTTAAATAAATCAATTAGCACCGCTTTTTACTATCCAGCACTGGCACTTACCCAGAAATTTTCTGAGGAAAGAGTTGAATTTTTTGCAGAGAAGGCTTACATAAGCAGCCGAAAATCATAACTTTTCTCTTCAGAAAAAATTTCTCTCCCTATTTTCTCAAGGGGAGTTTTTCCTGAGGGGAAAGCTGGAATTCTCTAGTCCCTCTTTAGTACGCATGTGCCTCATAAAAATTCCTTCTCCTGTAATAGAAGGAACCTTAAGATAGCATTGACTTCGATACAATAAAAGACTCGTCTAATTATTTAATTCAGTCAGAAATTGTAACTTTGATCAATATATTTATTGGGACATATGCTTAGTTTTCAGAACTATGGGCTAAAAAATCAATGAAGACCGAATTTAAAATGATTTGTGCATCTTTTTAATCCTACAAGGCTTTCAAAAGCTCGAAGCTTTGATAATTTCATGGGAATGGTTTTATTTCATAGTTACTAAGAAAGAGAAATCTAATAGAAGACCGCTTTAGAAGATTTATCTGCTTGAAGATAATAGAACATATGAGTTCTTCTATTTTAGAGAAGATCAAAGATATGAATATAGAATTTTCGTTTCTTGGAGTTTCGTTCTCAATGAATGCGAATACATTTGACAACGCGGTGTTGTGCGTTTTTGAACGCACTGAAATGGCTAAACATACCTTTTCTTCCATTTTGTGGCAAGTCACTATGTGTTCTCATTTCTAAGAACGGAATTCGAAACTGACACGCTAAGAGAGGGTTTTTAATATAGATAAATTCATTCTTTTGGTTATTTTATCATTACGTAAATGTTTTTCATGCAGAATAAGGTTGTAATGGAGTGGTTTACATTCTGTTTTTCTTAGACAAAGAAAGACAAGAAAATATTCGTACATTGCGTATTTTAGAATGCAAAAACACGCTAATTCTTGCCAATTTTGCTTTAAAAAATATTGTTTGGATTTTCATAATGTGCTATCGGAAAGAAACTTTTGATTGAATATCTGCTGGCTGATTAGTTTCAACTGATAAGAAAACGGGCATATTATCCTTTCAGTTTTTGTACAATTCATCTTATTTTATGAGAGGAACTATTTTAATTCACAATAACCTTGGCGGTAAGTATTATTTAAAAAAAATAATTATTTCTTCTTATTTAGAATAATCACAGCATCAATTTCATAAGTATTATTTTACAAAATAAATTACTTTTTTTTTTCTCATTTATATTAATAGCAAAAGCAATATTATCAGTAGATATAACTGAAAAGAAAAGTATACTTTTATATTTACGAGAAAGGAAGAAAGAAAAATGCATTTCTCTATTCATTTATGAGAAGTTCATGAGAATATGATGCCGCTTACGAAATTTAACTAGAGTCACTCATTTTTTTATTTAAAAAAATTGTAACATTAATTTAGTTTAGAATCTAACGTAAACTTCAATTGACCTTTAGAAAATTCTGACAAAAAAAAACATTGTCTTCCTGTAATTAGTCGTGTACATTTGTCTTGAAACGGTAGCAATTTTTTAATATTATGGCTTGTAATTTTTTTTTCTTTCTGTCGTTTTTCTCAATAGTTTACTCGTCCGCCAAATACAACGATAGTCGTCATAGAAAAGGAAAGTAAAAATCCGTTGATATACAGAAACACACCACGATGACGGCAACATTACGCATTAAAATTGAATATGCTGGGAATAGTAAAGAAGATAATTCTTCGTTAAAATTCGTCTATGTAATCGATTCGCCTAGGGTAACAACTATCGACAAACTCATCACAGATATTCAAGAATTCATTGTTACTCAATTCGGTTTACACAACATGCGTCTAGTCGATCTTGTTACCGATGATGGCTATATTTTGATGAAACAAAATATTTGTGTTGATGTTCTTAACAATAATGAGAAGTTAGTTTGTGTTGATATGGATCGATTTGTCGCCAAGAATAAAAGCACATTGAATTTTGAAGATACTTGGTTAAAACTCGAGCAACATGATGCAAGTGATAACATACAGAAAAGTCTCACCGTGGGTGTAAATAATGCTGGAAAACTTTATGTGTACTTATTCGGTGGTAGAAATATGCAAGGATTATATCTATTCAATGTATTCGAACTGTTAGCTATGGTATGTGATGAAAGCGAAGGTAAAGTATTGAAATAGAATTGTAGATATTGTATAGGTCTCATTTATTAGAAATTGATCACTTTCAAATGAAAATTCCGATAATGTCTTCATCTGAATGGTTCATCAGTGCTCAATGGACGCATGATCCTACCTCGAACAACACTCTATTTCTCGTCGGCACTCTAAAAACTGGTGACACATCAAATATCCTCAGCAAAAAACTTCGAATCCATCTTAATGAGTCTATAAAAACTATTGAAAAGGGAGAAGTAATACCTTTGTCGAATCAGTCTAACGAGGATGCCACCCAAATGGCTGCACAAACACAAGCTCGACTAGACGAGTTAAAGAAAACGATTCCATCGCCGAGCAGAACGGGACCCGTCCTTGATACCAAAGTTCCAATTGCTAAAATATATAAACACGAATGTGCGGGTGATTCACCGATTCTTATAATCCAAGGAAAAGAGAGTTCTGTCGATGTCGAACAAGAAATATTTGCTCGTGATGACAGCTTTCGCAACTTAATTACTATTACTGATATTATTATTTCGAAAAAACCGGCTGTATTACCGGAAATTTTGACACATAAACGTTCAGCACCTGCAGAAAAACCAATTGCAATTGCTCAAGTGCAGGTTCATTACCAATGGCATGATGGTAAATGGCTCGACTGTGAGGATGCTAAAATAGCAATTGCATCTGGACAACAAGATGATCGACGAAAAATAGTTACATCTATATTAAACATTGAACCGGATAAACTAATCTCGGTTTCCATATATGCAGCTATACGAGTAAAGGGTAATCCTAATAGAAATAATATGACTCGTTCTCGTGCTCATAGAAGCCTTCCTCAACCACTCAAACTCAAAATTATCTTTACCGATAATCTGTCAAAGACCTGCTCGCTTATTGTCGAACAGATGAACCGTCCTCTTCAAATTATTACCAAAGAATCATTTCTTAAAAGCAAGGAAAACGATGTGAACAAACTAATTGCATTCGTTTATGTGGATGATTGCGAATATGATGAGCGTAGTTACATTGCAGTTTATATTGATAAAGAGCATCATGTGGTTATTGGTGATGAAGGAAGTTATACATTTATGAATAAGACACAAATACGTACTAGACAGTTTAATGCCAAGAAAAGTGGAAAAACCGAAGAACTCATTGAGTTCATTAGCAGAAGTGACAAAATAGTAACATCACTCTTCGATCCAGAAACCTTTCTGCTTTATGCTATTCGTATTGAACTGACAAGTACAACATCGAAAACAGTCGAAACAGTACTTTTACCATTGGACGAAATAAAATGACTTTTAAGAAAAAAACTATTTTATTTATATAAAGCATGTACCCTATGAGTGAATCTATGGGTATCCAACCACTTTTTGGAAAAAGCTTTTTTTTTCTCCATTTTTGTTCATCTAGATAGATGCATAGTGATCAAAAAACATGTTTAGAAAAAAAATTGTGAACTTCCATAGAATAATCTTGGATTTCTAGATCATTTTTTAGGACCATGTATGGTCTATTCCATGAAGATCCTTCGACAAAAACATATGATTTCTTTAAATCGATCGAAAAGCATCCTATCTTGCAGAGCTTCGTGAGTTGTGTCTACAGTAAAAAAACTCAGCTTAGACGAAAGTCTGGTTAGGAAGATATAGGTCTCACAAATTTAGCTGGAGATTGTCATAATGGAGATGTATCAAATTATGAATTTGGCATTACAAACAATTTGAGCCTAATTTTATTATCCTAAGAACCAGCATTCATCTCTGATTATTTTTCACAAGTTTATTTTCTGTTTTAGTATCACTTTTTTTTCATGCCTGGAGTCCCTCTCAGAGATCGAAAAAGAATTTTTGTCACCGTTCTATTAGAAGTCATTATAGTTCAATAGAGCTCAGTGTGCTGATTACAAATATTACATTCTTTTAAACAATTAGTCAGATAATAAGAAAGATCTGAAGCACTTTCTAAAAACCCCAAACGTTAGTTTTTGCCCTGCAGATCCATGAAAATCCAATGTAGATTCGTTGAAAATAGGCTCATTAAAAA